CAAGTTCACCATATGCAAAAAGCAGCAATGGGTGGGGCTGGTTCTTCTTCTCTAACACCTTCCCTTGGGGTTCAGCCATACCTATACCACTAGGGTCAGTTCTATCATTTTGCCAAAAGGAGGTACAAGGCCTACTCCACTGAGTACTACATTCAGTGAGGTACTTAGCCAGCTTACCAGTTCTCCTTATATCAAGGTCAGTTCTCCCACCTGCCAGAGGTGGTGGGGGGACAGGGGAGGGCATCTCCCTTTCATTCAGGCCACCATATGACAGATGAGGAGCAGGGTCAGTTCTCCCTAGTGCTGTAGCCAGAGAGGGGCAGGGCCAACTCAGTGCAGACCTATCTTCTCTGCCTTTGGTGATAAAATAAGCCACTGACATCAACACAGACCATAGCTAAGTCAGGGCCCTGGGTGCAGATATGGCCCTTGGAAGGAGCCCAGGCCCAGAGATCACCAGAGGTGGCAAGCTTTCCATCCATCTCAACCCACTCCTTACTGCCTTCACCTCTTTGGATCTGCGTCTCTCCACATGACATGAACCATTTTGTTTCTCTCTCTTCCATACTCCACCCTATATTTGCTCACCTTAATAGATCCTGATGGTGCCAGTAGGTCAGTGGTGTCTCCATCTAGACCAGGGCAGAGAACCCCAGGCAGGCAAGTAGGTCTTTGTCTCCCACATAGTCTTCATGGCACTGGGCAGGCTCCCCTTCTCTACTCCCAGCCTGGGATGGAAAGCCCTGGGCAGGTATCTCATTTTTTAAATTTTAAAGTGGTTTACAATATAATTTTAACTTGTCCTTTAATCAATTAAGGTAAAGACTTCAAGAGATATATTTATAGATATTAATTTTATTATATATTCAATTTTCAATACACAAGATTTACACATGAATATCAACTGGTTTCTAATGCCCTCAAGATATTTTACTAAGTTATCATTTTTCATTTGTAGCAATGTGCTTGTAGAATCTGAGTGTTCACATCATCAAAAGTAGCAGGAACACAAGACAGACAATTGAAAATACACAATGCTGTTAATATCAAATCCCTCCCCATTGCTTTCTCCAGGAAGGGTGCCCTATCCAATCCTCCCCAAACAGCAGGAATAAGTGAGCAACAAGTGTTCAAATTCCTGAGGCAATGGGGGATATTTCACATTCAAATCAACACACCGTTCATGTAAAAGACAGTGACCATACACAGAACAATTTTCTATATCTGTAACTTATTGAAGTGAATTATTTAAATTCAGAGAGTTCTGGCAACTGAAGGCCCACAGGTGAATCAGAAGGGAAGTTGTCTTGTGTGGGCTTTACAGTTCTCATATCTCTGTTGTTCTTAAACACTCACAGAAGGATTTCTCCTAGCCAGAAGGCAAATGTTAAGCCTCTAACTTCTCTTTTTCTTCACTAATTGCAAAATATTAATGTTCTTAATTTTTTTATCACAATTCATGGTGTATTGTTCTAGTTGCACCAAGTGACTGTATATTAAAATTGTAGCTTTGCATTATGTACTATTTAAAGAACCCACTTGATTTCATTTCTGAAAAATAGTTCCAGGTAAATTCTTTGATAAGTGGGCTGTGCTCAGTGTTTCGGTCATTGTTATGGTGATATTTACAGTTTTCCCTAGCATATTTCCTTATCATAATTCCATCTAATTTATAAGTAGATTTATAAAGATTGCAATAATTTCTAGTGCAGATTATGACATTGTGTTTTTCATACTACAGACACTTGAGTGTACATCCCTGGATTTCTGTCTATTATTGGGCAAGTGTGATTGCATTGGGCAACACTGGAATCTGATAACAGATAATCAACTTCACTTTGTGGAGAAGAATAAAAAGAAAGCTGGAGGGGAGTAAGACACACAAATCTCTTTGCAATATTACCACACATGAGAACTTCATATTCTCTAGGTCCTCTGTTGCTATTGTCCTTCAGGGAACAGGAGAATTTTAAGAGCCTCTCCAAACACTGTCTCTTTGGAGACACTGACAAAAATGTCATGATCAGCTTTGGTATTTACCTATCAAATAAAGTTTGTGAAAAATTATTGACTCCCAAAGCAAGAGCTGTCATTGCCTCTGTAGGTGAAATGAAAACTTCAGTTCAGAAGGGAGATGAGGTCACAGCCACAGACCTTTATTTCACAGTTAAGATGCTTCCCTCTCCTTGATGCTGAATTTCAGAAATTTCAAGGTTGTTATGAAGTGTACATTGACCAAAAATCTCTGTTCAGAGAATCAGCCAGGTGAGTAGTTTGTATTTAGTGTGGAGAACAAATCCAGCTGCTAAGAAAAATGTTGTGAAGTGATTATATCTGGAAAGTTGATTCAGAAGTGGGTAACACATGCATTACAATTTTAGAATTTATATTCTATGAGTATCCTGTAGTTAAACATGTTTCCAAAATCTTGATTTATTACCATATGTTTGACTTAAGGGATTAGTAAATATAAACATTCAAATATTAATTAATGATCATTTAATTTTTTTCTCTGTGTATGAGTGCATTTGTATCAGTATGTGGATAGGGACACATGTGTTCAGGAGCATACTGTGTGAGTGTCTGTCCATGTGTGTGTCTGTGTCTGTGTGTGAGTATGTTCAGAAAATAACCTCAGTTTTTCTTCTTCTGACACATTTTGCATTTTAAATATATCATTATAATATTCTTAAACAACAGGGTTTAACTAGACTATAACACTCTGAATGTTTTAAGCTGGATGGTCAGGGAGTCCCACTGATCTTCATCATTTTCCATTCCAATATGTGGGTAACAGATGTGTACTATCACAACTAGATTTTTATTGATGTATGGAGGCTGAACTCAGGCACTCACATATCCAAGGCAAAGAATTATTTAATTAAACCATCTCCCTAATCAAGAAATAACTTAACTTTTAGGCTACTTAGTTCTTTAGTATAATATCTAAGAATCAATGTATTATCTAAGAGTTAATACTAGGAATCCAGAGTCTGAGGCAAGAGGATTACAGAAAGATATAGTCAAACCACATTATAAAATGAGAGCCTGTGTGAAGTCAGTTACCAAAGAAATAGAAATAGAGCATTTCCAATATGCTTTGTCACAACCCTACATCATGTCACTGATAATACTTTCCTGTTCTGTTACTTTTCCATGCTGGATTATGGGACATATCATATCAATGTTAAGTTATAAGAGACAGGACCAGTCTTGATGTGTTTTGCTTTTCCTAAATACATTCATAATTTATGAACTTTTGCTCTTTCTTTGTATTTGTTTCTTGTAAATTTCTTCATCTTTCTTTTACACTGCTTCAGAGCACAGAATCATCTGAGTATCAGCTGAGGCTGTGTACTATTAGAGGACATGTGGGTAAGTCTAACATTCAAAGCTGAAATGTACTTTATAATTGTGACTTGGGGAAAAATCACAAGAATGGAATGACTGACATGTAGTTTTATATTCCTGCCATTATACCCAACTTCTCAGATTTCATAATGCTTTCTTCAATGTGAACACCTATTTTCTGTGTGGGAGATGAATGCTGTATTGATTATCTCAAAGAAGGAAGGAGGAGGATAACTGACCTAATCATCATGGCACAATTAATTAAAACAAGCAATTAATTAAAGCAACTCTTTATTTGTGAATTCAGACTACCTCATCCTGAGACATGAATAGGCAATATTGGAGACTTGCCCAGATTATACACATTGATGGGTTAGGTCATTATTGTAAAATTACCTATGTAACTTTCTAAGTATTAACCATGTGTTATAAGAGTTAAGTCAAATTTTTTTTACAGATTTTACATATATTAACTCTGTATGATATATTTATAAATTCTGAGGTACAGAAATATCATGTAATAGCCTTATAAATTTTGGGATGAGGTATACATCTAAGGACAATTTAGACAGATAAATAAAACCACTATTCTAGTTTTTAGCTGTTCTGCTTTCCTTGTTTTCTGCCACAAAGTCAGGTGGCTATAAAAACCTGTCTTTCTCACATTCAAAGCTGAACTCTCAAAACCCAACTAATGGGGAGGCAGCCTATGTTCATGAAACAAAATCTTGGTTATTTATTTGCTTGCTTTTTAATTTGCCCATGATGATTTGGATCAGTGGTCATTCTCTTTTCTTCTTTGAGATTAGATGTATACCAAAACATAGGGACAGCTGGTGTTTCCTAAATGTCCATAACCTCACAATGACACCAGACATTGTATTTTATTAACAAAATTGGACATTCTTCAACTGTTAATTCCTTACTAAGTGTGATCATTTTCTTCCTGATTTCCATTAAAATGATTCAATTACTTTCATTCTGTTGTCCACTTAAAAGTTTGCCACAAAATATTTCCTGGGTTTCTTTACACCACAGTTCTTTATCTGTGCAAAATGTATGCCTGTCTATGTCTGTGTCTGTTTTTATAAAACTTGATGATACATTGCTCTTTGCATAATTGTTTTCATTATATAATAAACATTCTATTATGTAAGAATAAAAATATTCTTATTGTTATGGAGATACATATTCATTTTATGTTTAAATTTCAGATGACATATGCATGGGTTTCCTTTATGCTGTTGCAAGAGTGGTTAATGTCATTTTGTCTTCAGTATGACTTCCAATTAGAAGTTCCTTTTAAAATTTAGAAAATCCCTTTAATATGTACTCACTGGTCATTGTTTCTGCAACAGCACCGTGGACTTACTGCTAATATTGACATTAGCAAAGTTCTGCAACTTCTTTCAATAAATATGTACAATTAAAGACAACAGCAGTTTAACTGAAAAAAATATTTTTTAACAAATGTTCTTGAAAAATAGTTTTGTGAGTCATAGTTCTGTTTTTTTGCCCACAATATCTTTACAATGTTGAAAACATACGATTTTCCCACACCAACAACCACGTCTAAAAATTTCAAGTCACCATTTTGCTCAGAGAAGTGATTTTTGGAACTGTTTAAAGAAAAAAATTTAAATGACAGAATGGACCACAAGGATTTGACAATAGGAATAGTGATCTTACTTCAGAGTACAGTTGGAATTGTAGGGAATTTCTCTATTCTTTCCTGCTACCTCATCCATTACTATACTGAACAGGCACTAAAGATCACAAATTTGATTCTTACACACATGTTCACAGCCAACTCCTTGATCATTCTCTCTAAAGGATTACTCTATATAACGAGAGCTTTTGGGATGGAAGGGTTCATCAATGATTTTGGCTGCACCTTTCTTTTGTATATTGAAAGACTAGGCAGGGGCATGTCCATAGTGACAACCTGCTTCTTGAGTGTTTTCCAGGCCATCACCATCAGCAGTGGGAACTCCTTTTGGCTGGTTCTCAAAGTCAAAGCTTCAAAGCATATTGGTCTCTTCACTTCCCTCTGCTGGATTCACTACATGTCAGTAAATATGTTTTTCCCTGTGTATATGTACACCAAGGGGAATAGCAATAATCTGACACATAGAAGTGGCATGAAATACTGCTCTACAACAGGTCATGATGAGCTTGCAAGCTCATTATATACAACATTTTTTGTTCTTCCTGAAATTTTACTTTCTGTCATCATTTTTTGGTCCAGCACCTCCATGATTATCATTCTGTATAGGCACAAACAGCAGGTTCGGCATATCCGCAGCACCAGTGTTTCCTCCAGAACATCCCCTGAGTCCAAAGCCACCTGCCGCATAATGGCCCTGGTGTCCACATTTATAGGTTTTTATGCCCTCTCTTCCATCTTACAAGGCTTAATTGCTCTCATATATAACCCTGGTTGGTGGCTGATGAACATTAATGCAATTGTTTCAATGTGTTTTCCCACTTTGGGGCCCTTTGTAATGAGCTGTGACTCCACAGTGCCAAGGTTGTGCTTTGCCTGAGAAAGGAATTCCAAAACCCATAATCTCACCACAGGTATAAATATTATATGGTCTCTTTCCAAAAACATACAAATTTTAAGATTCACTTTTTATATAAAACATCAACATACAACTATGTTATAGCCTCTTGTCTTTCTAAGGGAAACTGTACTCTAAGATTGGGTTTTAATCTTGTTGAAACTTGGACCTGTAATATCATAGCAGAGGTGAATGAGACACATTGTTCTTTTGTGAGAAAATAGTGCTGTTTTCAGAAATATTTCTTCATATAATATTCATTTTATTCCACAAGTTATAAATTTTGTACCTTTTCTCGTTCAAATTTATTGCATATTAACTAAAAGAGAAATATGTCTGAATTTGTTGACAATTGACACATAAGGTTCAAATTTTATGGATTTGTCTCGACAGATATTTCATAAACTGAAGAAGGAAATTATTAACTTACTGACAGTCTCTTTTTAACACTCACCAAGTCTAGTTTATTCCCATTCTAATTCCAAAGAAAAGTAACTTGACCATTCTACACTGAAAGCAGTGGACAAAGCATTATGGCCCATCTGAGAAACTATGAGAAAAGTATGGGGAATTCCCTGCACCTGGTGTTTAAGATTTCCATAAAATAGACCCAGGAATGGCTGCAAAGAAGATGTGTGCCATAAACTACATAAAAAAACTCAGATAGGTTCCGGGGTAAAGGCCTCTGTCTACACAAAATCTCAACCTTTGTCTACCTACTTTTTCCCAGCCAGCAACTATTGACAATGGCTAAGTAAGGTTCCTTGGCAGATTAACCCAACCCAACTACATGATTAGACTTCTCACTGCTGAGCCACGATAGAAGCAGTTAGGTTCCATATTGTTAATTCTTTATGCATTAGAAATATGATGATGACTAATTCTAAATTTCCATATTTTTAGATAAAAAGAAACAGCAAATGATCCAACAATCGACAACCTATTACAAATCATTACTCTAATTATATTATACTTATATTCATTAAATTTATGTTTTATTTTTAATTTATTCTTAGGTATTAAATGTTTAAATTTTTCCAACCTGATCATAGTCTCCACACCCACCATCCTCTTCTTCCAGTCCCTCTCCCCAACTTCCAGTCTTCCCACACCTCAAATCAACTCCTTCTCATTTCTCTTTATAGTAGGGCAGCCTTCACATGTATTACACCTAGCCATACTATAGAAAGTTGCAGTAAGACCTTCTCTTACTATTGAGGCAGGTGAGACAACTCAGTGCCATGAACATTTGTCTTTCTAAGGGAAACTGTATTCTAATTTTGGGTTTTAATCTTGTTGAAATTAGGACCTGTAAAAGCATATTAGAGGTGAATACAACAGGTTGTTCTTTTGTGAGAAAATTGTGCTCCATTTTAGAAATCTTTAATACACTTCCTTGAAGTAGGTTGAATCAGTTGGGCCTCAGGTCTTTAATGTTTCCAGAGACTATGTGTCCATATAATTTTGTCAGTGCAGAATGTTTCCAAAAGAAAACATAGTGAAGAATAATGGTGCATGTTGTTGTGAGATAATGTTTTAAATGAATATGTTTATTACTTTTTCACAATTTTCCTGGCTACTGTCTTCATGGTGTTTATAAAAATTCATTGGAAGACTGATTCAATGCCAATTTCTCTTCCTGACCCCCTCATTCCCTGTGACACCAATGAAAACCAGAGACATAGCATAGCCTGCACTATTTGAGAACCAGCAAGGATCCATCTCCAGACTGGGCAAACCAGGTCCCTAGCCCCTAGGCCCCAGAGATACAACCTGTGCCCCTCCCCCAAGCCATTGGATCCCCTGGGACCAGGCAGCTGCCTCTTCCCTTGCCCCCTCACCAAGAAAACAACTCCCAGTGACACCAGTGGAAACCGTACACATAAGCCTATCCTAAACCACAACAATTGGGAACAGAAAACAGGACTTACCCTGCACTGATTGGGAATAGCTCCTCCCTGAGGCAGAGCCCACTTGTGCCCATTGGACTAAGATCTGCTCCCTGAGACACAGAATCCATCAGCACCGATTGCACCAAGAGCCCGGATTAGACCAAAAGCTCCCATTAAACTAAGAGTATCAATCAGATCAAAAGAAGCTCCCTCAGACACAGACAGCACTTGGCACGAAGTGGAGGAAGAGATGAGTAGACGCCAGTGCAAGAATACAGTCAACAACATAAAGGCCAATATGACACCATCAGAACCTAGTGGTGCAACAACAGCAGGACCTGAACATCCCAAAGCAGAAGAAGCAGAAGAAACAGACCTTAAAAAATGCCTTTAAGAAGATGATAGAAGCCTTTAAAAGAGAAATGAAAACTCCCCTTCAAGAATTCAAAAAAAGGGGAGGCTGGGGGGCAGGAGGAGGGAGGCCAGGGGAATCTGTGGTTGGTATGTAAAGTTGATAGAAAAACTCTTAATTTAAAAAATGTATTTATATTAAAAAAAGAATTCAGCCGGGCGGTGGTGGCGCACGCCTTTAATCCCAGCACTCGGGAGGCAGAGGCAGGCGGATCTCTG